GGAGTCCCCTTTGGGAATGCCCTTGTTTGCAGTGCCCCATAAAGAGGAAAATGTAAATAAGAGAATCATTTAACCTGCCAGTGCTCTGCTACATTAAGCTCTTTTTAATCTGTTAATAATCATAGTCAGAACAAAGAGGAGACGACAGAACTCATTAAGAATAACGAGAGTGGTGACAGGGAATACGGCAATGGTACGAATCACTGCATGCAGCCCGAGCAAAATCCTCTTCCCCGCGTGTGTCAGTGAAAGATACTAATTATGCCTCTGGCAAGAGACATGTGGACCCCTTCAAAGCAGCTATTTAAAGATAAATACACTGCGAGCAAATACTTCCGGCCTGGCTGCACTATTCATCCCACCCTCCTCTCCTTTAGAAATTTTAGGTCACAATATTAATGAAAGAGCCTTGCAGACTTAGCTGGTAGTGTCATAAAACAAATTTGTTTTAAATTTCTAAAGCTTTAACCTTAGAATGACTAGCTGGGTGTTTACATATCTATACTAATCCCAGTATTAATGGTATACGGTATTTTTTCCCGACCTCAAAGTTTTCTCACCATCATTAACAGATGACAAACAAGGTTTAAAGAAAGACCCACTGTCTTTCCCTTGGCCTCATGATTTCTTCTCTTCCAAATTCCAAAGAAGTGCTGAGAATATTAAACATAATAATTGAGAACTTGGGTGGGGGTAGGGGGAGACCCAGAATCCTCAGCAACAAACATCCCTTCCAGGTGTTTGGTTTGGTTCCTTCATTATTTCTGCAGCCAGACTTTCTTCCCTATAAATAATGAGCATATTAAAGACTGCCTTCCTTACCCCTCACACTGCCGCTGTCACCCAAGGGTGATGGGCTGACTGAGCTTTTTATGGTGAATACCAGGCTTGGGGATGTGACAAACTATGTTTGGTTTGGAATCAGCACCAAAAGAAGAACAGAATTAGAATGTAGGTAGAAGAAGTTTAATCGGATTCCCAACTGTCAAGTTTGCCTGAAAGGACTTCAACGAGGTGAAGATTTAACTAAGGATGTGTGTCATCAGCAGTGGATAACAAAAAGGTGGAGCTATCTCTAAATGTACATCAGGAATTAGATAAATCATGAGACATTCACAAAACGGAACACAAGTTATTAAAATGAAATGACAAGCATTTTTTTTGTTAAGCAGGAAAACCAGACTGCAAAAATAAAAGTATAATAGAATACCATCTCAGAGAAAATATTACATATGCACATAGAATGCTTAGTAAGATATTCACAAACAAGTTAATTAATAGCGGTCGTCTCTGGGAGATGGTGGAGATGCTATTTTGAATGTCTTCTTTTGCCTACTTCTTCACCTTTCTTCGCCGATACTCCCAAGATAAATAAGAACTACTTTTACGATTTTTAAAAAAAAAACCTTAACATCCTGTTTTTCTCAAATTAAAATGGAAACAAAATTATTAAACTAGCACAACAACAGGGATCATCTACGTGACCTTTGTACACACCGAAATACAGGTTTTAATCAGCTCTAGAAACTACTATTAAAAGATGCTATCTAAAGCCACTAAATCCATCGGACTTTCGGGGTCATGAAGCTAAATAAGCATCATCTGTCATTTTGGGCTTGTAGAGTCAGATCAGGTAAACACACTTATCCGCTTGGAAAAAAACAAATGGCATTTTAAAGCTAAGATGACTCACTTTTAATACCTAACAGAAGTATAGAAGAAATAGCAAAAGAGTACAGTATCATACAGCAACAGAAAAACAATTAACAAGGCCTATTTTTATTACCTAGCTCATAAATGAAAACATTCATTTCCAAGGTACGGAGCATTTTTTAAAAATCATTTTAAACATCTTCTAGGCTTCAATTATTTAAACCTTTTTTCTATTTGACATCTAAAAGAAGTGAATTTTATCTATGAAAAGATGAATCTCTTCAGTCTGCAATCTTGAAACTTCAAAGCCAGGTACTTGGTAATGTTTTCACTAGACGGCATTTATATGTACAATAAGCATGCCTCTGCAGCTACGATCCTCTCCAAAGAACCTCGGAAAATATCATGTTTTAAGACAGTGCATGCACAAGTACACGTAGCACAAACACACACATTCCTCCCTATACAGAATCACCGAGACGTTCCCTGATGGGTTTCTCTCCTTCTCTACATTTGGGAACTAAATACTATAGTAGTCACAATCGCTCCACAGTGAAGACTTGCATATGAAATTCCATCATCAACAGAGTAATCGTCAGATACCCTAATGAAATGGGATTGCTGGATTGGTGGAGGCAGAAACTATTATTTCATGATTTATTAAGCAAAATGCCAAGAGCAATTCTAGACATCAAAATTTCTTTCCCTTAGGCCATGTACAGTGGCTCATTCCTGTAATCCCAACACTTTCGAGGCTGAAGTGAGCTGATCACCTGAGGTTGGGAACTTGAGACCAGCTGAGCCAAGATGGAGAAACCCTGTTGCTACTAAAAATACAAAATTAGCCAGGCGTAATGGTGCATGCCTGTAATCTAAGCTACTCAGGAAGCTGAGACAGGAGAATAGCTGAAACCCAGGAGGCGGAGGTTACAGTGAGCCAAGATCGCACCATTGCACTCCAGCCTGGCAACAAGAGCAAATCCATCTCAAAAAACAAACAACAACAACAACAAAAAAAAACAACACGTAGTTCCAATTACATTTACAAGCCATTTTAGTAAAGGATGCCAAATTAAACTTAGATAGGAGGAGTAAGTTCTAGTGTTCTATACCACTGCAGGATACCCAGAGTTAGCAATAGGAGCTATTTCCAAATATCTAGAAAGAGGATGTTCAATGCTCCCAACACCAAGAAATGAGAATAAATGTCTGAGGTGGCGGATATGCTGATTACCCTGATCTGATCACTTATATGTATCACAAAATCATGTGACCCATAAATATATACAATTATGTCATTTTAAAAAATTTATTTATTTTTATTTTTTTGAGACAAGAGTTTCACTATTAATGCATGCCTCCCAGGTACAAGTGATTCTCCTCCTCAACTTCCCTAGTAGCTGGGATTACAGGCATGCACCCCGAAGCCCGGCTAGCTTTGTATCTTTTTAGTAGAGAGACGGGGTCTTTCTCCACGTTTGTCAGGCTGGTCTCGAACTCCCATCCTCAGGTGATACATGCCACCTTGGCCTCCCAAAGTGCTCCGGAAAGACCCCTACATACACACAAACTCAGTCTACTAAGATCATCTGGGAGAAATGACATTCTCATAGTTCCAAGCATCCCTAGCGCTCAGATCTTGGCTTCTCAACAGCACTTGTCCCTACAAGAAAACAGGGCTCCTTGGAGACATGGCCAATTCCAGGTCTGAGGCCAGGAAAGTACACCATGAGCCTGGAACATTTTGTTGTGCCAGGCGCAAGGCTGGAAGGATGCCAGGGACACGTCAAAAGGAATAAAAAGCCAGCCTGATGAGGGGTCCACAGATGAGACTGGGATCTGGGACAATCTGAATATCAGAATACATAACACAAGTAACAGATCACAATGCTTTGAATAAAATAGGAAGCCCATATACATATAATTATGATAACGAAGATGAGAAGTCTGTACCAGTTTCAAAGAATATCCTCTCAAAACACTTATACATTGCAAAGGATGAGAGGGGTAACTTTACTCCTGATGGGGCCACCACAGTGGAATAATGAGCATGAACAGTGTGGGAAAAGTTGAAGTGAACTGTGTATCCCCACGGAGGACCCATCAACAAGGAGGAGGAATCACTTCCCTTGTGGCATTCCTGCCAAAAACACAAACCAGAACATAACCATGAGGAAACACCAGGCAACCAAATTAAGGGACAGCCTAAAAAATAATTGACCTGTAATTTCCAAGTATTGAGGTCAAGACAAACAATGAGGAACTCTTTGAGATTAAGCAGACTACAGACAATGGCAATGCCCAATTCTGAACTGGGTCCTTTTGCTCTAAACTCGGACATTACAAAGCACCTTCAGAACAAACGTGAAACACAAGTTTGAGGACTGCATTCATGCCCTGTATCACTGGGAACTTCCTAACTTTGACAGTAAGAGGAAAATGTACTTATTTAAAGGAAATACACACTAATGTACTGAGTGAGGGATAATGGGTGGAAACTTTTGGAGGTACTTAAAATCTGTCTGTAGTAACAAATTATCAAAATATTAATCAAATAAAAGTGATCCTGAACCTTGAGGTTTTCCCACAATGCCCAGTAGCAAAGGCCCCCTCCTTCTGTTCATTTTCTCTCAAATAACCTCACCCAAGAAACTCTCTGTGTTCAGGACTTCCTAAATTTTCTATCATTCCTCCAGAAAAGGCTCCGTCTTGTCTCAGTCTTCTGTGTTCTTTCCTCACAGATAGAAGAAAACTTAGTAAAAACACTGTCACGAATAACTCCATTCAGATCCCAAATCCTCCTGGCCTCTGTTATCTGGTCCGAGTTGAAACATGAACGAGCATTTGCACTGTAAACTGGACTCGGGAAGTATTAGTGCTGTTTTCTTCAGTGTAACACAGGGCTGAGAGATCCATGAGCCCCTCCTCATTACGGCTTATGGACAGGCCTTAGGAAGTACCAAAAAAAGAGGACTTCACATCCCCAAAGTCCTCCATCACAAACAAAAATTGCCCTACAAAACAAGTCAGCAATGTGGGTGTCACGGTGTAGTGGAGAGAGGTCAAATTATAGAAGTTAGAAACTGCATAATTGTGAATTGAGAAGTCAGGAAGTGGGGTGGAAGACTCGTATTATTAAAAAGGAAATAAAACTTCACAGATGGTTTGAAAGCCACACCCAGCATGCGCTCTCTCAGTAGGACTTCTCACTTTCAATTCCCCCTCAACCCAGACTAGGGACAGAAAAATGAAACAGGCAGAGAGTAAAGCTAACGTCTACTCCACGTACACCTCAGGCCTACACGTAGACTCCACGCAGACCTCGGCTGATCCTTGCAAAGTCTTACCTCGAAGGCAGAGAAAGGTAAGAAAATCTTCTGTCTTAGGCTTCCTTTTAGAGAGGTCTGATATCTGAGTAGCTGGAGGGGGTAGCAATGGCTCCACTATCTTTACAGGAGTTGTGCTGGGACTATTCGGCTGAGATTGAGCAAACTTCCTTTGTGCTTGCAGCCTGGGCCTGTAAAAGCAGAAGAAAATTAAAAATAAATTAAGCAGAGACTGGAGGATATAGGCCTACGTGTGGCAATAAAATCATTACACATAAGGGGAAAAAAGATCCTATTTCAAGCAAGCTCTTCCTAATTAAGGCTCTATATCTCTCACACTCTCATAAACCATAGGCCTACTTTAAAGTGCAATAAATTTGGTTAAAGGACAGTGTTTTATACACGTATATAAAATGTGTGCCATGAATGTGCATATACCAGTGTGTAGAGGTACGTCCCTATGTACACACTGTATGTTTGACATCATCAGCTAAGTGATACTCATTTACTTCCACTGACAGTGAAGAACACACTGAATTATCCTGCTGCATTTTCATAGCTTCCTACGCTTTCATCTAACAGTGTCACGAATCCATACCAACTTTCTTCTGTGTCATCACATCCAGTTCACCTTTGCCTGTTTATCCATCAGTGTCCTTGTCACCACTTCTAAATTAAACCACAAAAGTTCACTACAACAATTCAAATTTATATGACAGAAGAAGATATGTCTCTCTAGTCTACGGCCGCTCCAATTCCACATTATGGGTTACCCTCTGCCAACAAGGTCAAATTGCAACTATATAATATACTTAATCTACTCCTCAGACGTCTTTTCCATTACAATCCTATACTAACTCCCTAACTTATGCATTTGGACCTACAGAGTGCATTTCAATTCCTTTCACCTGAAAATCTTAGTTACATAGAAATTCCTTTCTATCCAAATGAAACCTAATGGATCTTGGAACAGTATTTTTGGCAGCAGCGGGTTTGAGATTGAGTCTTGTTCTGTTGCCACCTCAGCTCATTGTAACCTCCGACTCCCAGGTTCAAGTCTTCTGCCTCAGCCTCCCGAGTAGCTGGGATTACAGGCGTGCAACAGCAAGACCAACTAATTTTTGTATTTTTAGTAGAGATGGGGTTTCACCATGTTGGCCAAGCTGGTCTTTAACTTCTGACCTCAGGTTCCGCCCACCTTGACCTTCCAAAGTGCTGGGATTACAGGCGTGAACCACCTCGCCCAGCCAGTTTGTTCTGTTTTAACACAGTGGCCAATAAAATTTCTTTCTATCAACAAATATACTAACATATTTTTACTTCATGTATAGCCAATTTGACATTTATCGTTAATTGTCTAATAGCCACTACTCTCTAATCGTCAAGGAATAGTAAGCACTTGCAAGGATGAGAAACTGGGTACTCCTTTAAACTGTTCATCTAGACCTGCTTATAGAGATACTTGAGAAACATTATTTGAGGGTAGGACAAAACAACAAGAACCAAGAAACATTCCCACAGTACAGGGACTGAAACACACCTGATCAAAATCCTAAACACTATGTAGGATGGATAATGCAATCCCACTCAAAATAATTAACTAATAAAACTAAGCAAGTGCCAGGCGCAGTGGCTTATGTCCATAATCCCATCACTTTGGGAGGTCGAGGCCTGGGGATCACCTGAGGTGAGGAGTTTGAGACCAGCCTAGTAAATGTGGTGAAACCTCGTGTCTACTAAAAATACAAAAATTAGCTGGGCATGGTGGCAGGTGCCTCTAATACCAGCTACTGGGGAGACTGAGGCAGGATAATCGCTGGAAGCTGGGAGGTGGAGATTGCAGTAAGGCGAGATCACACAAAACTGTCTCAGAGGGAAAAAAAAAAAAAAAAAAAACCTACATAAGTAAAACAGCAGATATATTCCCCTGAAGACATTGTTAGGAGTGGATTATATAAAATAGTAATCATGTATTTTAAACTGTTGATGCTCAAAATGCCATAACATTTAAAAATAACGTTATAGTAGTTAACAAATTCCTACAGCAAAACACACACACAGTTGTCTAAAAACTAATACTTTTCAATTTAACACCATAAATCCTCCACACTCCTCAAATATAAAGTGCAACATTATGAGGACTTATCAATCTCATTTTAACATTAACTTCCCTGGTATATCCTAAGCACTGTCTAGTCTTGTCTTCCCATGACTCACCAAAAACACTGGTGTCTAATCAGATTTCTGATATAAACTGATAAATACAACAAAAAGGACAAAGTGTGGCTCCAACTACTAACTAGGTAATCTACACTAAAGACGACATAAAATAAAAATAAGTAAATAAAAACTACACATTATATAGGTCATCAGAGAGCACTTTTTTTTTCTTTAACCGTTTTATTGAAACAGGGTCTCCCTCTTTCGCCTAAGCTGCATTGCAGTGACGCCATCATACCTCACTACAGCCTCAAACTCCTGGTCTCAAGAGATCTTCCCACCTTGCAAAGTGCTGGGACTACAGGTACCTGCCACTGTACCCAGCTGTTTTTGGCTTGTTGTTGCTGTTGCTGGGTTTTTTTGTTTTTGTTTTTTAATAGAGACAGGGCCTTCTCCCCACGTTACCCAGGCTGGTCTGGAACTCCTGGCCTCAAGCCTATCTCCTGCCTTGGCTTCCCAAGGGTTGGGATTACACACATAAGCCATGATGCCTGGCCCGAAAAGCACTTCAGAACCCAAAATAACTGGCATGAAACATTCACATTAACAAGGTAATAGGAGGGACTGAATCAAAGTTAACAGAAATTCCCTAGCATTATTTAAAAAAAAAAAAAAAGATGGGTAGAGGAAAAATCAGGCAATGCCACTATTTCTTTTCTTTTCTTTTTTCTTTCTTTTCTTTTGAGACGCTCCTGTTACCCAGGCTGGAGTGCAATGGCGCAATCTCGGCTCACCGCAACCTCCGCCTCCTGGGTTCAGGCAATTCTCCTGCCTCAGCCTCCTGAGTAGCCGGGATTACAGGCACGCGCCACCATGCCCAGCTAATTTTTTTGTGTTTTTAGTAGAGACGGGGTGTTACAATGTTGACCAGATGGTCTCGATCTCTTGACCTCGTGATCCACCCGCCTCGGCCTCCCAAAGTGCTGGGATTACAGGTGTGAGCCACCGTGCCCGGCCGCACTGCCACTATTTGTATGTGATTGGGAATGAATAGCTTTTATTGCAAACAACTGCCTGCCTGTGAATAAGATGGGAAAGACCAGAAGCCCAGAGGCAGGAACTTCACGTGGGACACTAAAAGGGGGGATGGGAGGAAGAGATGAAGGAGTTAGGGTGAGGGGTACATCCAGCCAATCACAAAGCTTCATCTATCGCAGATAAGGAGCAATTTTCTGCTTGGTTATTTTTCCCGCCTTTAAGTTTTCTATCTGTTTAATTACGTAAGAAAACAGAACAAGGGGTCAAAAGACAATTTAAAAAGACAAAATACGAGCGCAAATTTATTACAAGACTCAAAATCATTCCGTCAAACTGCATAGGTTTCTTAAGGCTGGCTCTCAGTTTCTCTATCAATTCACAGGCACCTGGTGATGACCACATCTTGAGAGGGCAGTGTTGGCGGAGGGCAGGCTACAGAACCCTCCCTCTGCATTCCAACCAGATGCCAGGAAGACTGACCCAATACCACTGCCCTTCTTTTCTAACGAGGCTTTCCTTCCCACCCACCTCCCCGAAGGCTTTAAAACAAAGGAAATCTTGCGCCATATTTAGAAAAATTGCTGTTTTTTTATATTCTACTGAAAAATTTTTTTAAAATTGGCAATTACATAATATATACATCTTCATTTGAATGGACGTAATTCACACTCTTGAGTATTGCAGGAATTTTACAGAAATACTGCCTGCATGTGAACAGGATGTTAAGTGTTTACAGCTTTTTTAGAAGTCAGGGAAAACAAATGCCACACACAATGAGAGGACTGTGCAGCAACAATGAGAAACAAACAGGTAGACACAGACGAAGCACAGGCAAGGGAGCGAGACCCTGACAGGTATTTTACAATTTCAGGACCTCAAAGATAAACTGCTCCTACCACTGCTCAAATAAAAAGTGCTTGGTGCCTGATGACTTTCCCAGTGAGGCTATGAAAAATAAGGCAGTAACAGATTAAAAAGTGGCAGCAAAATAAATTATCCCTTAGAGGAAGAAGCCAAGCTCACAAGTGATTAAACATTTGTGAGACCCAGATGAAACCATGAACTAAAGAAGGAGACAAACCAGTATCTTTTTGAAAGAGGCCAAGCTGGGCACGGTGGCTCACGCCTGTAATCCCAGCACTTTGGGAGGCCAAGGTGGGTGGATCACGAGGTCAAGAGATCAAGACCATCCTGGTCAACATGGTGAAACCCCGTCTCTACTAACTTTAAAAAAAAAAAAAAAAAAAAAAGAGGCCAAAAGAACCTGTACTGTCTACAAAGGGCAGGTCTGCGGTGTGGATTTTCATCCTGCAGAGTCCCATGGGGATTATGAAGGTGTTGACCCTGTTTTCCTGGCCCCATACAACCCGACAGCTTGAATGGCACAGTCAAATCCTGAGTACACACTCCAGTAAGTACGGGCAGCTTTGAGGAAAAGAGTTTTCTTTCTAGAATGCTGGATATAGTAAAATAGAAGAAACTGACTTAGATGTGCTGAAAACTCACAATATTTGCACCTAGAGATGCTGATGGCAGAAGCAGCAGAATGCTGGTGTGTAAAGGAGTGGGGTACCTGGTAGGCATGGGGAGAAAGGTGAGGCTGCACCCAGCCTGCAGGCCCTTAGCCCTCCAGGCGAGGTGGCATACCTGCCCACCACATCATTTACTTCCTTGCTCTTGCGGTCAGCTGACTGGCACTGTCAACAGCATACCATCTGCAGGCGTTGTGGCTCATGCCTGCTTAATCTCAGCACTTTGGGAGGCCAAGGCAAGCAGATCATGAAGATCAAGCAGATCAAGACCATCCTGCCCAACATGGTGCAACCTCATCTCTATTAAAACACAAAAAACTAGCCGGGCATGGTGGTGCACGCCTGTAATCCCAGCTACTCAGGAGGCTGAGGCAGGGGAATCGCTTGAACCCAGGAAGCAGAGATTGCAGTGAGCCGAGATTGCACCACTGCACACCAGCCTGGTGACAGAGCAAGACACT